GGCACTTTGGTGTGCTACGTCCTGGGTGCATTAGAGTGCTCTTTTGTATGAATAATATGGAGTGCAGAACACATTGAGCTCAGTTTTGGATATGTGGAGTTTGAGCTTCCTGAGGGATATTCCACTGGACGTGTCAACTGGCCCAGAGAGACCTGGGTTGGGGATGATAATCAGGCAGCCACAGAGTGGAATACACTCTAGAGTGAAGCTAGAATGAAAGTCTTTTGAGGAATAGCAACAGTCAGGGGTGTGAGGGGGGGGGGAAGCTCCCAAAGAAGGGGCAAGGGTGGTGGAAACAAAACCAGAGCAGTGTTCTCAGAACAGAAGAAAAGGTAATCTGAGGAAGGAAGGGGTGGAAGGGTCGGAGAGATGGCTCAGAGTGAAGAGCACTGGCTGCAGAGGACTAGAGTTCTCTGTACTTAGGTGAGGCTGCTCACAACCACCTGTAACTCTAGTTCTAGGGCATCTGATACCCTGTGTTGACCTCTGCAGCCATCCACATGCGTATGTACATTCTCTGTCTGTCTTTGTGAGTATGTGTCCGTTTGTCTTTCTCCCTCACACACATAAATACAATCATTTTTAAAAAAAGAATGTAGAGCATATAGCTAGATGCTATAGCTGACTGCTCAAGAGAATAACTCAATTTCTTTCATAGTTTAGAGTGATTGCTCATGACTATAATCCAAGTATTCAAGAGGCTGTGAGTTCAAGACCAGCCTGGACTATGTGGTGAGTTACAGAACAGCCAGGTCTACAGAGTCACATCTATTTCAAGAAAAAACCCAAACCAACAAGTAAACAAACAAACAAACAACCAACCTTCCATGCTTGTGTGGATGTGGAGGTGGGTCCCTGGAGGTATGGAAAGAACAGCCCAAAAGGAACGCTGTGGGTAGAACCCAGGCTGGTGAGGCCCAGGAGAAGTGGGCAGAGAATGCCTACAAAGTGAGCACTTCAACAATCTGTCAAGTTTGCTGAAGTTATGGACAGCTAGGTGAGCACATGGGCCGAGCTCAGCAGCTTTGCTACAGATTGGCAGATACCAGAGCTGACTATTGCTCTGATGGACATATTTTCCAAATAAAAATGTACTTGGAACATACAGTCTAGGGGAAAATAGGTATTTCAGGGCACATGGTTATCGGCTATTATCTCATCCCTGGAGGGTATGTGTACAGTGTATGGAGAAGGCAGAATTCAAGGTCATAATGTCAAGGTCATTTAAGGGTGGCGGCAGTAGGGTCGTTGTGTTTTTTTCTTTTTCTTTTTGCCATCCCTTTGAAATGCAGGTATTTATACCTGTAGCATAATTTGTAAGACTCCTGCAGAAAATTATTAGCTAAAGGGAGAAAAATTCTCTGAAAAGAGGAAGCTTTCTAAACATTTTAGATAATGTATAAGTCTTACCTAGCAAGACACTTCCATTAGCACAAAAAATAATGGCCTTTTCTTCCAAGATGACTGTCACAGAGAAAAAATGTCGGCAGTCAGATGATTTATTCCCCCTGCGTTTGAGTTTATTCATGGGGAGATTCACCTTGTGAACTGATAATTTTCTGGGCAAAGAAAAAGCAGCGGGTGTTTTTCTTTTAAGGAAATGTCTATTTTTTTATTTTTTATTTTTTTTCCAGTGGGTTTCTTTAGGCTTAGAAAATCGTCTAGGTCTATGACTTTGATATCAAGGGAAAGACTTCTTCCAATTGCTATAACCTTTTTAAAAAAGTGACCTGTAGGGATAAATGTTCTCATGCTGAGATTCAAGGCTCTCTGCCGTGTCTAAAGTGATGTAGGCAGTACAGGAAGCAGATAGGTTTTTGAAGTAGTTTAGGAAAAATTTAACTTCCTGGACTGAGCAAAGGAATGTATTTTTGGGGCTAGGGGAGGTTAGGTTTAACACCATATTCAAGTCTATCATAGATATGCATGTATATATATTTTCCTTTCCCCCACCCAAGCCCAGTGTCTCAGGTCTGTAATCTTAGGATGCTGAAGCAGGAGGGTTACATGTTCTAAGCCAGCCTTGGCTACAGAGTGAGTTCAAGACCCATCTCAGTTACTTAGTGAGACCCTGTATCGAAATTAAAAAGGGAAAAGAGTGATGGGGATATAGTTTAGTGATAGAGCTCTTGCCTGGCAGCATGAATCCCTAGGCTCAGTCTCCAGTGTTACATCACAGACACACACACACAGACACACACACACACACACACACACACACACACACACACACACACACATAAAATCCTCAGGGCATGTCATGAAAATTACCTGAAGAACATTCTGGCAGATTATTTTTCCTCTGTTGAGCACAAACCAAAACAACAACACAGAGGTCAAAATTTTGGGGGAGCAGCAAGGACAGGGAGGTGCGGACGGGTACAGGACTGGGTCTGGAGAGGCAGAGATCAGCATTGGGGTCAGAGACAGTAGATCTTGCATGTAATTCAGGTCTGGTGTCCGGTTGAGTCCTTGGTAGCCATGCTGCAGACCTCCTGCTCAGATGAACAGGGGGTCTGGTCTGCCTACGTCTGCTAGCCAGAGCTGCTAAGGCACTGAGCAGAACAGTTCTATTTCCCATGAGCCCTTAGTCATAAGGTTCTGGCAGACAGTGACTAGGGTTTCTCCTGTCACCCTTCTTTAGTGACACACAGCCACTTAGTCATTTGGACCTGCCTGAGATTTTCCTGAAATACTATGTTTAAACATGCATTCTCACCGTAATCCGTAATGATGACAGGTCACGTGGAGTCTCAGGTAAGCTTTTCACAATCGAGGGGTCCCTCAGGAGATCTGATATAAGCAAACATCCCCAAAGCTCAAGGATCCTGACCTTTTTACATTGTTATTCTCCTAAATGTGGGAGGGACCCAGAAACCTGAACTTGGAGACTCCATTCTGCTAATGGGGATGATACACAGTTTAGGGAAGAGAAGGGAGACTTCTTCGGAGTTGCTCATTTAATCCTTAGGGATAACCAGAGAGATACAGCTTCTTATTTGAAATCTTTCTTGTTCCACCAATTTCCTAGCGGGTGCAAACATTTTTGCTGATGACCCCATTAGGGTGGCTCTTGCTGCCTTTCATCTGAGTGATAACTGCCCAGCAGAGGGAGCTTGCCCTGTATCTTCCCCTTAATGTGGGCATGGACACAGCGCACATGTCCTGGTATAAGATGACCAGTTTGGTCACACATATTTTTTTTCTCTCCCTTCCATCTCCCTCCCTCCCTTCCTCCTGCTCTTCCTTCCTTCCTTCCTTCCTTCCTTCCTTCCTTCCTTCCTTCCTTCCTTCCTTCCTTCCTTCCTT